CTCAACCGCAAGGATCCGATCGCAGTGTGCACCGCTGGACCTCAACCAGATAGTTTGCCAGATAAAATCCACAAACGCACAATCACAAACACACGACCACAAACGCGGAACCACAAACACACAACCACAAACACAATCACAAACCCACAATCACAAACACAATCACAAACACACAACTACAAACACAACTACAAAGACACAATCACAAACACATAACCACAAAGACAAAACCACAAACACACAACCACAACCACACAACCACAAACACACAATCACAAACACAATGACAAATACAATCACAAACACGCAACTACAAACACAATCACAAACACACAACTACAAACACAACTACAAAGACACAATCGCAACACATAACCACAAACACAAAACCACAAACACACAACCACAACCACACAACCACAAACACACAATCACAAACACAATCACAAACACAATCGCAAATACAATCACAAACACGCAACTACAAACACAATCACAAACACACAACCACAAACATACACACAACACACAACCGCAAACACACAAACACAAGCACACAAACACAAACACACAAACACAAACACACAAACACACAACCACACACACAACCACAAACACATCCACAAACACAACCACAAACACACAACCACAAGTACAAACACACAATCACAAAGACACAACCACAACCACAACCACAACTCTACAAACACATAATCACAACCACTACCACTACCACAAACACAACCACAAACACAACCACAAACACATCCACAAACACACAACCGCAAACACAACTACAAACACACAATCACAAAGACACAACACACAACCACAAACACACAAACACAAACACACAAACACAAACACACAGACACACAACCACAAACACAACCACAAACACATCCACAAACACAACCACAAACACACAACCACAAGTACAAACACACAATCACAAAGACACAACCACAACCACAACCACAACTCTACAAACACATAATCACAACCATTACCACTACCACAAACACAACCACAAACATATCCACAAACACACAACCGCAAACACAACTACAAACACACAATCACAAAGACACAACCACAACCACTACCACAACCACAAACACACAACCACAAACACACAACCACAAACACAACCACAAACACACAACTACAAACACACAACCACAAACACAACCACAACCACAACACAGCACACAACCACAGCACACAACCCGAGGACCCACAAGCAACATCGAGAACTACAATACTGACGACTATGGCAACATGCTCCTCACTATGGCATCAAGACAAATGATCGAAATGTCATGGTGGGGATCACTCGAAGTAAAGTAATTACTTTTCCATGAATGGTAGTTTCCCTTGACACGTCCACGGCAAAAACAATAAACATTGAACATTGATTTTGTTCCAAAGCGCGGTAGACACGGCAATGGTTTCTAAAGCGGTTTTCATGCCCCTGTGGTGTTTTTTAATTAAAGACCAAACGCTCAATTTGTTCTTACATGTTTTGTACCACATTCCCCAGGTTGATAAGGGATTTTGCTTGACCAAAGGCGGAGTTTAAAACGATCAAGATCAAGCGTGTTTTCTTATCGCACCGAATCGTTAACTTCGAAAAGAGAACGCCGATCATGGCTAGGCTATGAAGCCAAGCCAAACTCCTAGCCAAAAACATATATAAACACGGTCAACGTGAAAACATATTATGTTCTTATACTGTTTTCTCGACCAAACCTTACCAATCTCCGAGGAAACAACGATGACAGTTTTGTTTTCTTAAACTGTGTTCTCGATCAGAATTTTACCAGAAAAACTGTGAAAATCAAACGTGTTGTCAAATGTTACTATATAATCTGAGGACTGACTGTACAAGTCAAGAAAAATACTGTTTTTCTGTTTACCAATCTCCGCAGGGAAGTGCTAAAAATGTGTTTACAGTATTCCTGTGCTGCCCAGGTCCCGCAGGAAAAGCAGGAAAGATCAAACATGTTTGTTTATGACATTTTATTACTATCTATGTTCACCGTTTTCTCTTGTGGGGGGGCGCGAGGGGGTATACCTTGTTTTCATGTCCATAACCCGACACAGTACAGTACCCCACCACCCTTCTGCAGCACTGACCATGTGCTATGATTCGTTCTGAATTCTGCACCTAGCCTACATTTCCTTCTCAAACTCACGCAAACCACCTCCCGAACACCTTACGCAGCCCTGAAAATGAAGCGAACTAGCGCCCCCGTCCGACATCCATAGCCCGTTCATGAAAATGCCGACTGCAACTTGTATTTCAGCTTTCTCTTTGAAACATCCTTTGATCAAACACGAGCATGCTGCATGCTGGTATCCAGAACCTATGCCCTACGCAAGCACTTGTTCAATGAAATTTGGACACATTTCAAAGCGATAACTCTCGTCACTCATAGTTGTGCTTAGAGTTGTACTTGTTTGAAAAACCCTCCAAGCTTGCCCACAACCGTTTCTTCTGCACCTACGTGCTTGTTGAGCCAGGGCCATGTTAAGGTAAGTTCACGTCTATAACGCTATGAACATCATGAACAATTCTTTGCCCGGAAGCTGAACAGCCAGCCGCACAAAAAGATCACAAAGGCAGCTGCGGGTTGGCCATTGTCCGAACAAATACGAGGCACGTTGGTTGAACAGGTGTTTAAAAGAAGTGCTGCAAGCGACAAACATGTAGCTCAAGGAGGCTTAAACTATGGAGTGATTTCAATCTGCTTTCTCAGATGCGTGAATGGCTCAGCAGCTTGAGATGAAACACAGGACATGCAGCACGTGGTGCAAGACAGTTTGAAGACTGACGTGACGCGCAACAGCTTTGATTATGAGCCCTGAGGTTGCTGCCCACCGATCCCAAGCAGAAGGATCCTGGCCATCGACATAGCTTTGCCATCAATGTCAATGCCAATCTAGTGTATATGTATAATATATATATATACTTGAGAGAGGAGGGGGTGAACGAAAGGTAGCAGGGAATCAGGCGTAACCCTGGAAACACTGGTATTAATGGTATTTACGGTGTTTTGTGGCCACTTTGAAGCGTACATAGCTTGAAACCATCCCAATATACAGGGTTTTGTGGCAGGAAGGTGCAGAAGCCCGTGTAAAGTACCGTCGCTTTGTGCCACTTTGAAGCCACAAAAGCCCTTTCCGCCACAAAAAAAACCTGCAAATAGCGTGGCTTGAGGCCACTCTTGAAGATAGGAGGAGCTGAAAACATGAAAACACTGGCATTTACGGTGTGGCCACTTTGAAGCGTACGCAGCCCAAAACCATCGCAATTTACAGGGTTTTGTGCCGGGAAGGCGCACAAACACGTGTAAATACCATCGTTTTGTGCCATTTAGAAGCCTCCAAATGCCGAAAAAACCCTTTCCGACAACATCTTTCCAGGTTTTTGGCAATGAAGCCTAGACACTTCAAAAATACCATCGGTTTTTACGATGTTTTTGGCCGGACAGCCACAGAAAACCCTGTAAATTGCGTGGTTTGAGGCCACTCTTGCAGACTGGAGGAGCTGAAAACACTGGTATTTACAGTGTTTTGTAGCTGTTGACAAAGACCCGCGCCAGGGTGGAGTTGAAGGGGGCCCCCCCCCGCCTCGGCCCTTGAAAGTAAATGTCGGAGGCGATTTCTCAGTGAGATGGGTGTCCACTCTGGTTATAATTCATTTTTGCTAAAGCAAAAGGAAAACTCAGGTAGCGTAACCGCTACCTTTCGTGATATGGTGGTTGATCAAAATTCCTTCTTGCTGGAAGGCCATTCTTCGCGAAAAAAATTAACATTCGCGAATCTTTCGCAAACTCCATGTTTAACTTTCGCGGGGGGTATATCCTCTGGAAATCGTCTTGGTTTAGTGACTGGTTCTACATAGCAGCCTAAGCACTTCCGTCAAGCACCAGATTGGAACTGCAGACGAGGTTGAGGTGTTACAAGGCAGATTGGCGAGAACTCTCAATCACCACCATTGGATGAATCAGCAGAACTGGTGGAGGATGAGCTGGAAGAGCTATCAACGGTTGTTGCGCTCATGTCTTGCTAGGTATGTCGCTGCTTGGCTTGGGCAGGGGTCCACAAAACAAACCTTCACATTCGCCTACGCTTTCGCGGAACTTTCGCGAATCTTTCGCCAAAAATTGTCGCGTCATTGGTGGGTTTCTAGGCGCACAGCGTAACAACCAGTGGCAGCAGCACGAGGAGGAGTAGTAGGCAGTGGTAGTGGCAGCAGCAGCAGCAGGAGGAGGAGGAGTAGTTAGTAGTTAGTAGTTAGTAGGTAGTAAGTAGTAAGTAGTAAGTAGTAAGTAGTAGGTAGTAAGTAGTAGGTGGTAGTAGTAGTAGTAGTAGTAGTAGTAGAAGTAGTAGTAGTAGAAGTAGTAGTAGCAGTAGTAGTAGTAGTAGTGGTATACAATATATAGTATAAATAATAGACTCTTTCGCAAATCTTTCCCCAGAAAAACAAATTAACTTTCGCGAGCTCGAGAAAAAACTTTCGCGGACAACTTGAAGAGGCTCTCAGTGGCATAGGCCTTATGTCGACCTTTCGAGCGACTACCATATATTATATATGATATATGTGTGTGTGGTGGTTCCTGAATATTCTTTCATTATGGAATGGCCATGCTTCACACAAAACAAAACTTTTGCGGCCTCATCGCGAAGCATGGTCCTAAAACCATGTCTAGTTAACATGTGTTGGAACATGTTGGAAGTATGAATGTGTATCACAAAACAGTGACTATAAACACAAGTTATCATACAAGTAAGGTTGGGTCCCAACAGTATCTGTAGCGTATATATATATATTTATTATTCGTTTGTATGTACTTCTTCACATTGCATATGGCTCAATCTAAGGAACGTAAACCGAATGAAATGTCAGTGCCGGGGTTGTACGGTATGCTCTAGATTGCCAAAAGAATGATTGCACATGTCTAACCTTCTCGTTAGAACACTGTCATTCACTAGTATCAATGCTTTGCAGGATCAAAGAACAAGTTACGGACAAAAGCAAAAGGATACACACGCCAAAGGCAGGCTACGAAGTCTGTCGGTCTGTCTGTTGTCGTTGCTTCGCCTTCCGAATGTTACCCTCACCGGAGCATGGCCTAAACAAATGAAAAAACAGCCGGGCCCTCATAATGGATTCTCTGGTAGTTTCCAGTCTCTTAAATCTTTGTGCATCTTGTAGGCACTGAATTACAACGAAGCTGCGCTCCAAGTCATGCTGAACTGGGCCCTCAGGTCCACGCGCATCTACGAGCACCACATCGAAGGCATTGGGCATGATTGCTCCGATGCGAGTGCCATCCATAGACCTGCAGCGAGGCAGTCAACTGGAATCAACAGATCTACATTTAGTTACAATCTTTTTTTCGCTCTGTGACAAGGAGCAGTATAAGCGCTTCTGAAACACCTGCCCGAAGCAAGTTTGCTTGAAGCAAAGCTGCCTCGGCAGATCATTTGAGCAATCTTGGAGCGTTCCAGGGTTTGCTCTTCCCACCATGACATTGGAGATTCAATGAGTGTCGCAGGTCCAAATGCTGAGCAAAGAAACTCACATCGTTGACAAAAAGGCTAAACAAATCTTAAAAGTAATTCCGTGGGCACGCTACCCGCGTCTTTTGCGGCTCATTCGCCTTGGCGTCGCAATCCAGCTGAGCTGTTGTGACATACACTTGCGGAATCTGCAAGAACCAATTCAAAGCATTCTGAAGACTTCAGCTAAAGCTGGCAACCAAATTTTGGATGAATGTGGCATCCTTCGTGAGCAGCAAACAACTATTGTCTTCGTAGGCGCCAAACGACAAGGAGATCAATGTGTAGCTGAGAAGCCACCTGCGAAGCCTGCTTTCTGAGAACTGAATATAGTTCATTTAATGAAGAAACCGATGACTGTTTACTAACGCTTTTGTTTGCTTGATTTAGTTCAGCCTTGCCTTGCTGCCAGGTGCAGCACAAAGGTCTAGCACGCATAGTGGCTGGTCACCAAAGGTTTGTTCCGCCACCGCTCGTAGGCTCTCAATGGGTAAAGTACTTGTAGCCTCTTGGCCTTGGTCACGTTGACACTGCCATGTAACTGCGGCAACTCTTCTTGTTTGACCGTGTTGTGTATGTCAGTGCAGCAGATGGCTCCAACGATTCCAAATGCAACAGATTCGCCATACACTTCGCCACTATGATGCATCAAGCTGTGGCCCAGCAGCGGAGCCTGGCATGGCATGTAGTGTTTCCTGCTCACTGATGCTCACTGTAGTTTCAAAAAAATCCACACTTGGAAGGGGATCTTACATGAAACCGTTTTGAGCTGTCTCAAACACTCAATTCTGCAAGGGCCCCCAACCTGGCAGGAGAGAGTTTCCTGAACATTGATGAAGAAACCTGAACTGAACAAGAAACACATTCAAGTGGTTTTCAGTGTGGCAGGAATCAAGAGTCAAAAAGCAATGCACAAAAGGTCCCAAAACTCAAGAGAACAAACTAAAATTGTTTGCGATACTCCATTCCCGCTCTCAATCCCATATTCACACCGCTTCGCGGCCGAAGCGGCCCGCACAGAGTAAAGGGAAACATACACACACATACAAACATAGACATCCACCCATGCATACAGACAGACATACAGCTCACAACCTGCGCTCGCGAAGCCGGGAACTAGCAACTTGTGCTCTCGGAGCCGGAGGAAATGTTAACCGGGCTCAAGCGTGTCTCAATCTGTCTGTCTCGGTCGGTCTGTCTCGGTCGGTCTGTCTCGGTCTGTCTGTCTCGGTCTCGGTCTGTCTCGGTCTGTCTCGGTCTCGGTCTGTCTCGGTCTCGGCCTGTCTGTCTCGGTCTGTCTGTTTCGATCTGTCCGTCTCGGTCTGTCTGTCTGTCTGTCTGTTTCGGTCTGTCTTTCTTGCGTCTGTCTCGGTCCGTCTATCTCGGTCTGTCAGTCTGTGTCTCGGTCGGGCAGGACACGCGGACGAACACACCCACGATGTCAATAACGCAGTGTCCTCCGCGTTGCACATGCTCCGCGACGTCGATAGTGCGATCTCCCCCGACCTGCATAACCGGCGTCCTCAACGCTGGGTCCAATTTTTACTAATCTTCCAAAAACATTGCAAAGCACAGCATTTCAAGTTAAAGCTTAAGATTTAATCTGGCAGATTTCTTGCGATTGGCATGAGCCGCCGCAATGCCCTCGGCGCCTTCGGTACGGGCGGATTTCAATGCTGCTCCGCGGTTTAAAAAATGACACTGAATGTCGTGTTGATTCCTCCACAAACAAATGGCCCCCGCCAAAATGAAACACAGGTTCAATGCACTGAGTCCCAAGAGGTCCAAGTGCAAACAAGCAGCCATCAGCACTTAAGGGGCTTGGACTGAGGTGAAAACCTTGGGCCACGGGTGAAGGCTGACAAGACTGTCTTTTCTTGCCTTATATATATATATTATACATATTTATATAGCTCAACATGTCCAGCATAATCCAGCGTTAAATTTTCAATGCCGAACGGTAATGATACCACCACCCTGCCAATCAGGGTGGCTACTGACTGGCTATTGCGACGACGACGACGACGACGACAACGACAAGCACGACCACCACCACCACCACCACCAGCACTACTACTACTACTACTACTACTTCTACTACTACTACTGCTACTGCTACGGCAATGGCTACGGCTACTGCTACTTCTTTTTCTACTGCTACTTCTACAACTACTACAAAAATATGCTCCCCAACTGGATGCGAAGCATACCTTCGACGCTTAAGCATCATGTATATAAGCTTCACATAAGCAAGACTGAGAAGCTTTGGAACGGCCTTCAAACATCCATTTTGCGACTGGACTCGAACTTTCGCGCAGCTTCAAAAAAGCACGCGAGAGGCGAGACTTGACCGAAGCATGCAGCACATAGCAGTCCTCACAAGCAAATGCTCCAAAACATAAATTTTAGGCGCTCCGCCTTCACGCGCCAAGCGCCGCCCCAGCTGTGGCCGCGCTCGGCGTCTGGAGACGCGTAACGCTGATCGCGGGGGACGACCGCAGCTCCTGAACACTGAGCAAAACATGTGTGACGAGGTTGTGTGGGGCAAAGCACGGGTGGGCGATCAAAAACTACTTAATATGGATGATGGATCCAAAAAACCAAAGAGACACAAACTAGACGACACGGTGGCCCGAAAGCACAGCAGGAGATGACAGAAGGCAACGATGAGGGTGAGGATTGAAGATTTGATGATGATGATGATGATGATGATGATGATGATAGCGGTGGTGAAAAAAGCGATGAGGATCACAACGGTGCTAGTATACCAAGACCCGTGAACACCGAGAATCATTTCCGCGCACCACCGACACGCTAAATTTACACCAGCGTGCTTTCCTTCCCCGTACTCGCGCAAACGCACTTTCCACTTGCGACGCACAACCCGCATGGCACAGCGACATCAGGAACGCAATTTGGCCACACGGTGTGCCACAGACTGGACACCGCCAATCATCCCCCTCCCCAGCGACATGCCGAATTTACACCAGGAGGACGCGCAAAAAACCACATGGCGCAGCGACACCACAGACGTAAGGTGGCCAGTTCTCATGCCACAGCTCCCAGAAACTTCTTCCCGCACTATTTGCACTACCAAATTACCATGTCGACTGGCAACCTCAACCTTCGTTTTTTTCGATGACAGTAGCGCATTTTGAGTTATGCGCCTCAACAGCAAGCGCCAGAAGCGCCAAATCGCAGGGCACTACCGGACCTCAACAGCGAGCGCCAGATCGCAGTGGGCACTACCCGACCTCAACGGCAAGCGCCAGATCGCAGGGGGCGCTGCCGGACATCAACCGCAACCTTAAGCACACAACTGCAAACACATGATCACAAACACGCCGCCACAAGCACAAGCACATGCACAACCACACCCACACCATCACAAACACAAGCACAGACACTGACCACACACAATCACAAACACAACCACAAACACACAATCACAAACACAATCGCAAACTCTGACAATCACACAACAACGAACACACAATCACAAACACACAGCCACAAACACACAATCACATACACACAACCACAAACACACAACCACACCATCACAAACACAACCACGACACACAGTGACACAGTCACAAACACACAGCTACAAACACACAATCACAAACGCACAACTACAAACACACAATCACAAACACACAGTCACAAACACACAATCACAAACACACAGCTACAAACACACAATCACAAACACAACACAAACACACACAACGACAATCCCAAGCGCAACCACAAACACATGCGCCAGATTGCAGTGGGCACCGGGCTGCAAATAGGCGACTTGTCACAGAAGCGCCAATATTCAAATTGCCCAAGGACTGCCGCCTGATGATTTGCATGAGCCAGCAGTAGAGGCTGCTTCAGAGACACTAGTCAGGCGGAAAAGGAAAAAAGCTTTGACAGCTATGCCTAGCTATCGTCGAACTCACACAGTGTCAGCAAAAGGCGCAAGTGAACTGGAGTTGGATGGAGATGGTTGGCTGCCGTTGTGTGTTCATAATGCTTGGCAAGCGCAAGCCCGGGCCATGCTGCGTGTTTGCGGTCCATGGCAACATGCTCCTCAGTCACCTTGGCGTGAAAACGAATCATTGAAATGTCATGGTGTGGATCACTCGAAGTAAAGTAATTTTGCCTTTTGTTGATCCCTACTCAGATGTATTATTAACACTGTCTACTAAACTATTAAATATGTAGTTTGGGATGGGGATGCGCGTGTGGATATTAGTCTGCCCAACGTGAAGTGTAGGTAGACTATCCTCTCCCTCGTAGAAAGCGATGGTGCGCACTTGTTTTCTGCTGGATCTACGGGAGTCTTGAGCCAAATATAGGCGTGACACGCTACATTGTACTGTACATGCATATGGTATGCCGTCGTCCCACTGCTGTTGACACCCCCCATGTGACCGACGCTTTCAGCAATGGTCACACCTCTTGAAATTCAAGGGTAGTGGACTATACAGTGGCGCGTTATGATTTGCCGCGAGACCCATCAAAATGGACTCTAACTACACTACACTGTTAAAACTAAGCGGGCTTTTACATATAAAGCGTGCATTCCAACCTACTGGCTATACAAGTTAATTGTGAAAACTGGCAGTTAAAGATGTCTCGCTCAGAGTCCACTCAGTAGATCTTCGTCCTGAAATAGACCGAGCCTTGCAGCTTTTCAACTGTAGAAAATTCACTTGCAGATGTATACGACTGCTCAAGAGTCATGCGTCATCCGCTGATCTTGTTCAACAGAGGTTCATACGCAGTGCGCTGAACCTGTTTGACAATGCGTTGGTGGCCTTGATTTAGCGTGCGATATCATCATCTTCTTCTTCAATGCGTTCATCATCGTCGTGATGTTCCTCCTCTTGATCACCATCCCCAATAGATTGAGTTAGATTGTTTTCTGACTATTATTAGTTAGATATTTTTAAGTCAATAGATTTTCGAAAAACGGTTTCAGCAAAGTTGACGAAATATACTCGTTGTGTTTTAACTATTATTCGTTTATTTTTGCCTATCTCTCTATTTTTTACACACGTGAAATCTATAGATTTGCAACTTCGATTTTTTAACGATTAGTCAGAAAATTAAATATTAGTTAGATTTTTTGCGTCAACGATGCCGCGGAAGGGGTAGAAACTACGACGTAGTTTCTACCAAAGTATGACCTCTGTTTTCCAGAGTACCGTATCAAAGTACGACCCTCGTGCGTAGTACTTTGGTAGTAGTTTGGTAGTGGTTTGATAGTCTTTTCAGTGACCTATTGCGAGTGTGTTTTTAGACTTTGTCATCAATCTTGTAGTGCAATGTTTTATGTTTTGTTCATGTGTCGAGAGCTGTGGGTGAGAGACATATCCATGAGGGACCTTGAGAGAAATATCCTTGAGGGAGACTGTGAGAGACTTTTCATTGAGGTTGACTTGAGAAACGTCGCATTGTGAGAGGTTGCGCAACTGAGAGACTGTGAGAGACTTTTCATGGTTACTTTGTGAGTTTGTAGTAGTAGTGTGTCATACTATACTCTTATGTGAGCAGGTTTTGGGAGATATATCCATGAGAGACCTTGAGAGACTGCAAAGCAAGCGCGAAAGATTTGTTGTTGATTCAGTGTGTCACGACTCTCATGGCTAGAGGTTTGAGGTTCATTGAAGCAAGCACGAAAGACTTGGTGTTGATTCAGTGTGTCACTATACTCTCATGGATAGAGGTTTGAGGTTCATTGAAGTCTGTTTGTGAAAACCTGTGAGAACTTTTCTCAACTTGAACAGTTGTGGGCTCTACTTGAACAGGTGCTTTGAAAATACCTACCCTGCCGGGTTATTTTCCAAGATGTTGAGCACTCGCGCTCGTCTCACTGCGGATCCCATGATTGGTGTCGGCGACCTTATTGAGCCCCTGAAAAACTACCTCGAATCAGACAAAGAGGACTATGCCATGAAGCTCGTTCTACCTCCAGCCACCGCTTCTTGGAAGTCCGGTTGCCCGACAAGTTGGTTGGCTTTGAACTATGGAAAAGCTACGTGAAACTGGCTCCAAACACTCTTATTCCATCGAAAAGGCATAGAACTGCTTTGGGGAGGTTGCGCGCACCAAGAAAATCAACTACACCAGCAAGAAAGACGATGATTTTGTAGAGAGGTTGGATGACTATATTCGTATGGGCTTGAGCCACCTCCGCCATTTGAAGCAAGATCCAAAAAAGAAAGAGCAAGCCTTTCGCAAGTGTGACAAAGACCAGCAACAGGCACTGGAGGATGTCCTGGCCCTGGTGAATGTTGAGGCAGTTGGGCAGGCAGAGTCACAACTCCTCCCATTCCACGCGCAAGGAGACAGCCAAGGATCAAATGAGGCACGACTTTCCCCAAAGCGGCCACAGGTCGAGATTGAAGACAAGGACACGCGCAGGAAAAGTACATCAGAGAACGAAGCCATTTTTGACAACGTTTTGAAGGGAGACGGTGAAGGTGAAGGTGATGATGAGATCCCAATCACAATCTTGAAGAAAAGCAAGGCCAAGTCTGAGGAGGGCGCCGCCGCGATTCGCCACAGAGAGGCAACATGTTCTCCTTGGCTATGAACAAAACCGAGAAGGCATTGCTGAAATCTGCTTTGGAACCAGAGATCGAATCAGAATGCACCAAAAAAGGCCAAGGCCAAAGGCAAAGGCGGCAACAAGGCTGCTGCAAAGGCATCCGCAGCAAAGGCAGGCAGCAAGCGCAGCCAAACTACTTTGGGAAGAATGCCAAGCCACCAAAACAGACCATCCCTGAAGAAAAGGAGACACTCCCAGAGGATGAGGAGGAATTGATTAACATGACCCCTGGGGGCACCATTGAGGTGGCCATGGAGAAGGCGAAGGAGTGGGACAAGGAAGGTGTGGCCAGAGGTGTGAGACGAACGAGAACAACAAGCAAAGCGCACCATGCGTGTGATTTTCACCTCCAGATGCAGGGCATGATCAAAGGCGAAGCGCAAGCAGTGGGCAGAGTGGCGGGTCGATTGGTTGGAGCGATGTTTGACAAAGATTGGCCTCTGGCAACGGGTAAAGGAAAGGCCAAGGCAAAGGTCATGTAGGAAAGCCTGCGACCAATGTCAAGAAGAAACCCTGCGAGGATTCTGAGATCAACATGGAGGAGGCTGCGTGAGCGCGGGGAGCCTGAGGATGTTGATTAAATTGTTTGCGCGTTTGAATCCTATGTTGTCAGGTTCATCTCATTGTTTTCATGCAGCGCACTTGAAGTTGCAGAGACAAGTTTATATTATATAATCTATATTGCTTCGCTTTCAGATGCTGATGAACCGTTCAGGCTGTAGCTAGCAAAGTACACGTATTTCGTTGAGCGCCGGTGTAAAAATGTTGAGGGCTGGTGTGAACCCTGTGAACTATGTTGAGAACATCTGTGAACTCCTATTTTATCAATGTTTGACCCTTGACAGAGAGAGAGGGGGACGGTCAATGAACTGTGCAAACTTGTTGTGAGTCTTGACG